AAAAATTAAAATTCCAGGAAAAACTGAAGAAATCCAGACAATATACAGCTTTGAAAGGTATTCTAATCACCAGAATGTGTAAATTTCTATTCATTGCATAAAAGAACATCTGTACATAAAACACATCTCAGTAGTCAACATATAAGTCAACTAGTCATATTCTGATTTTTTGGTATGTATTAATTAAAAATATATTCCTCACCTGTCTGCATTGAACACTGTCGTTTGACTTCTTCAAGAACTGTACTCATCATAGTAAGACCCTCTTCATTTCTAGTCTCAGAAGAGAAAACATACCTTCGCCAGCTGTCTAAATCTGATTTAACCTTACTTTCTCAAACTGAAGCTATCAGCATTTGATATGAAATGGAGGACTGAGATAAATAAATTGAAGGAGAATAATTTGCTTACAGCAGGAAAGTTAATCACATTTAAAAAGTTACTTAAAAGATAAGGGAGGGGCGCCTGGGTGGCTCAGTTGGTTAAGCGACTGCCTTCGGCTCAGGTCATGATCCTGGAGTCCCTGGATCGAGTCCCGCATCGGGCTCCCTGCTCGGCAGGGAGTCTGCTTCTCCCTCTGACCCTCCCCCCTCTCCTGCTCTCTCTCTCTCTCAAATAAATAAATAAATAAAATCTTTAAAAAAAAAAAAAAAGATAAGGGAAATATTTTATATTACCTTAAAGACAGAAAATCCTAGGGGATATCAGAACCTCCTGATCACATGTGTGTCCCTTTAAATAAAATAATCTCTTAAATACTTCAAACATAAAATGCTTCCAAGGCTTTAAACTTTAACCCTTTTAGGGCCAAAATTTTAACCACTTCTTGGCAATCTGCCAAATCATAAATCCTATTTTCTCAACCTGCATGTTTGTGTGTGGAAGTAGTATCTTATTGTCTATAGGGAATCACATTTATGGATCAGCTGTCACTACTACAGCTGTGTGTCACGCTTCTCTAGCCTTCACCTTTCTAAATACCTACTTTAAAATGTGCAAACTCAGGGGGCGCCTAGGTGGCTGAACTGGTTAAGCAGCTGCCTTAGGCTCAGGTCATGATCTCAGGGTCCTGGGATCCAGCCCCAAGTTGTCAAGCTCCCTGCTCGGCAGGGAGCCTGCTTCTCCCTCTCCCTCTGCCCCTCCTCCCTGCTCGTGCTCTCTGTCTCAAATAAATAAATAAAATTTAAAAATAATAAAATGTGCAAACTCAGAGGATCAAGGTTAAACTTATAGGCAAAGTAAAAACTGTCAATATGTTTAGACTGTATAGGTATAATATAGGTAAAATATATATAGGTAATATAGGTAAAAATATAGGTGGATAAATCTGGTAAAATAACTTTTTGAGTGGCTGATAAACTTTATAGTGTATTGCTCTGTGCATATTTCAGCCATTCAAAGGTCTTCTTTGTTTAGTTTTAGATTCTCAGCTCTAATATTAATGCTTTAAATTAATAAAAATTTCAACTTTCCTTAAGTGTTAATTACTGCTTAATTTAATATTCTATTTCTACATCATCATCATTATTATTTCACAAACCAACAGGCCTACCATGCAAGAGTTTCTTGAAATTAAACGTAGTCATAGTAGACATGCTTAATCTGTTCTAGTGTCCCCAAGGGCAGGTAATTAAGTTATGGGCCATGAAGGCCACCATAGGTTCCATTATCCTGAATCTTTCTGCCCTGGGGAAGGCAAATTGTATAAAATACCAACAGACTAAAGCTCAGTTACTTGATCACTTGAAAGGCCTTACATGGCTTTTGTTTTAAATAACCAGAGAACCAAAATTTTAGAGCTTGAAAAGATTAAAACTAACTTTGACTTTGGATATAGATATTTTAGGAGCATGAAAAATTTCAGGAGGGTGTCTGATATAAATACACTATGCTACTCTATACCGTAAGTTTACTTGTTTCTTACAGAGGAGAATTTCTTCAATGCCTAAAATATTAAGGTGAAAGTAAATAAATAAGTACTTCTTTTTGGTTCTTGATATCCATTCTGAATCCTATTTCAATGAACCTGGAGGACAAATCTCAGATAGCTCAGCTGCATTTCTGAAAGACACGTAAGCTAGGAAGATGATTCTCAACACATTTTATACTGTTTTCTTATTATGTAGATTTCTAACCACTATAAATCTCACTTTGATTTCTACCTTCCTACTAAAAGTGAACACTGGTAAAATTTTAAACTATGGATCAATTTTTTAAAATTATTTTAATTTCAGGCTATTCCTTTAAGTATTTAGCAACAAATTAGAGTTCAGAATCCTTGTCTTGAATATTAAATAAACACTAACAGTGATTTAAATGAAAGAATATTTTTAAAAGCCTTAGAATAAGGCCTGGCTGGTTAGGAGCCTCTAAATACAGACAGGTATATCCTAACCATGAAATCCAAAGTAAACTGCATGCCCCTCTTTAGAAAACAGAAGGCGGCTAAGGAAAATGAGAGGACCGAGTTTAACAACTAATGGCCATGAAGAAAAACCACCAGTGAATCTGAAATCTGATTCTATTTGTCAAAGCACATATATGCTTCAAAACACATCCAATTTTTATCATACCAATAAAAGATTCAAACGGAAAATTTAATTCAAAGCCGAAGTGATTTTGCTAACCAATATTCATTTATTATATGAACAATTTATTGGATTGTGCTCTTGTTACTGCTCAATTTAATGATGCCTGCTATCCTGATTAGGGACAATGAAATAATTCAGAATATTCTCTGGTTATTCTCTGCTTTCAAGGTTAATCACTTTTGTTTAAACAATACCACAATACCCCTTGTCCCCCTACTTTCTTTTAAAAGCAGTTTGGCTTCAATAAAGATTTATATCCAAAGGAGTAACACAAAAGAGGAAATATTACATGCAAGAAAGGTGTTGACCACAATACTATATATGTTATCAAGTATTTCAACTTAAAAAAAAATATTCAGGGGCATCTGGGTGGCTCCATCGGTAAAGCGTCAGACTCTTGATTTTGGCTCAGGTCATGATCTCAGGCTCCTGAGATTGAGCCCCCCATTAGGCTCTGCGCTCAGTGGGGAGTCTGCTTGGGATTCTCCCTCTCCCTCTGCCCTTTCCCCCCACACTCCCACACTCTCTCTCTCAAATAAAATCTTAAAAAAAAAAATATTCAACGAGTTAAAAACAGGTTAAGTTTAGAACTGAGTAGAAAATGTGCATAGTCCACAACCTACTAGTAGTTCTACTTCTAGATATATACCCTAGAGAAACTTGGAGGATGTACACCATGATAAAGTGTATGATTATGCTGAAGGTGCATGTAGAGCATAACAATGGAGAATCATGTCTATTTTATATATTCTAATTTCAGAGAAAAGCACATACTCAGACTATGCTGCTGAACCTTACAATTATGTGATCACTAAATACAATCTTATAAAAGCACTGAATTGAACCTTCTACCCATCTAATAATGTTGCTTCTCTACTGGAAGCAAAATCTCTATTTTTAAAATATTTAATCATGAAGCAAACCAAGGTGCATTAAATTCAACACAGATGAAATCTTTAAATGGGTGGCAGAGAAAAATATGCATTTATTAGTCAATGCTCCTGCAAACACATGGAGATTTATAATTATATTAAATAATTAAATTAAACTCAACGTATTTTTTCCCAAAATACATTTTTACCTCTCCTTAGTCCCTTCTTGCCAAGACCAGTTTAGGCCTTAATCTAATTAGAACTGTTTCCAAGTATACTGCTATGAATTCGATTGGTGTAACAAATCTTTTTTCCTCCTTCCAGAACTCAGCCACAGCATCATCAGTATACAGTTATATTCTCCTTTCTACACTATTAATGAAAATATAAGTAAAACACAGAACTCTGAAAGCCCCAATTATGGAAGAAGCAATTAATTCCAATGTGCTTAAAGACATCAATTTGAATGCAGCTACTGTTGAAAAAATATTTTTGTGATTTATCTCCTTTATTCATTTTTACACACTGAAAGACTACTAACTCAGAAAAATACAGCATGATTCATATGACAATGAATTTTTTTATTTCACAATTCATAACAATAGGGCTTATAATGCGTATTCAGTGATTCAATGTACCAGTACCATGATCTATTTGGCCTGAACTAAGTCAACATAATACATTAAAAGTCCAAAATATCCTTTTCTTAATCACTTACAACCTATAAAGAAACTCAGTAATATCATTAACTTGGACTGTGAAATTAGTTCATACTACATTAAAAATAAGAATTAGAAAATGGCAGTTCTAAATTCACTTCTGCCTCTTTAAGCTATGAAATCTTGTCAAGTTCTAGAACACAAAGTCCAAGCTCCTCATCTGTAAAATTGAAGAACACTACTACATCTGCTCTTGTTATTCCACAAGGCTGATACAAGAAGAAATCAAATAATCTATGTAAAAATTCTCTGAAAAATATAAAACACAAAACAGACAGAAGGTGTTATTAGTAGTAAGCAGATATTATCCCAAGAGGGTTAAGTATACCAAAGATGAATTACTGCATTTTTACCACCCCCCCAGAATCTGTTATTCCTATAAGGTTTTGTTTTGTTTTAAGATTTTATTTATTTATTTGACACACACACACAGAGAGAGAGTGAACACAGGCAGAGGAAGAGGGAGAAGTAGACTCCCCGCTGAGCAGGGAGCCTGACATGGGGCTCGATCCCAGGACCCTGAGATCATGACCTGAGCCAAAGGCAGACGCTTAACCGACTGAGCCACCCAGGTGCCCCAGGTTTTGTTTTGTTTTTTAAGATATGCACTTAAAATTTTTTAACTATAGAAGAACAAAAAAGATGTGTAAAAAAAACTAGAAGAAAGTGTACTGACAGAATTTGAATAATACAGGGAGATTTGTCCACAGTAAGGGGAAAACATGTTATTTATAAAAGGCATTATCAACTCTATAGGTGGCATGATACCATGCTAGGGAATTAAAATACAATAATATTTAATTTATTGTCAGACTCACCTCTGCCCATTTAAGAATACAGGTCATGCAGAAGACATGATTACAGCTTTCTGGAAAACCAACTTCTTTCTCTAACAGGCAATTAAGACATATTGGACATCTGTCAGCTTCACTGTACAACAGACCAGTGGTAGCAGTATTATCTTTGTTTTCTTCACCTATAAAGTAAAGCAGCCATATATGCTTTCAAGTTTTCCAGACCAAATGACATGTTTGTGGCAGTATCATGAACTAGATATTCTAAAGGGCTCCCCTATTACAAAGTAATTAAATCTTACAATGTAACAAACATACTTCTTGAGCACAATATCCCAACATTTACTAATTTACATTTTTTAATTTTTTTTTCTAATTTACATTTTTAATGGGGAAGTAAAAAGAATTTTTTTATGGAATTAATTTTAAGTAATAATCAGATGGTTCAAAAATTTTAAAGTAAAAAAAAGGTTATAGTGACAAATCTCCCACTCAAATCTACTGCCATCCATCCAGTCCCACTGAATGCAACAAGTAACAACTATTAAGTTTCTTCTGTGTTCTTCCAAAGATTTTTGGTGCAGAAGCAACTCTTAAAACATATCCTTTTAAAGCTCCTTCTTTACACAAATACTAAAACACTATACACACTAGTCAGCATTTTTTTGTTTTAACTTATTGATGGACATTCACTTGTTTTCAGTCTTTGGCTCTTTCAAACAAGGCTACAATGAAAAACTGTCATTTCATATTTTTAATAGCTATCTATAGGATAAATTCCTAAAACAGGAATTGCTAGATCAACATGTATGTACAGCTGTAGTTTGAATAGATACTATCAAATTTTATCCCTTAGGGTTTGTACTAATTTAAATGCCCACCAGCAATATAAACACCATACAAGAATATGTACTGTGGGCTCAAAAGTAAATAAAAGAAACTCCAAAATTCAACATAAAATGAAACAAAAATAAAGAAATTGTCAGCTGAAACGCGAACAATATACACCAAGCAAATGAAAAAGTGGGGATTGTCCTGGGAGCAAACGTTCTTATTAGGGTTCACATCTAGAGACTTACAACCAACCCAGGTAGGGTAACTGATCCTAAGAGACTTCCATATTAGGTCAAGACCCCCAACACGGCTAAAGTAAAGCATGGGTTCAGGAAAAAGCAAATACAAATCCTCTGAAGGAAAACATCCCTTAGGTAGGCCCTCAGAATTCTACAGATTAAATTGATCAAATATGAGTTCATAATCAAACATTGCCAAACCTAAGAAAATAAGTTACCTTGAGTAAGAATCAGCAGAAACAAGAATTTATTTAGATTTATTTTTTTGCATTTTATATATTATACTTACTCTCAATTTATTTAGATGCCCACCAGCTTCAAATATCAGAATTTGCAAATACAACACAGAATGATTAAACAGCATATTAGACCCAGAAGAAAAGAGTATTTGTGAACTGGAAGAGAGATCTGAGAAAACTATCTAGACTTTAAGAGACATACAAGGAGATGTAACCTGAGAAAGGAGAGTGGGAAATGAGGTCAGAACAAAGTCTAACATACTAATTGAAGCCCAGAAGAAGAGAATAAAGAATATGCAACAGTTAAAGCAGTAATGGCTGAGAAATGAGAAAACAAAACAAACAAAAAAGATCCAAAAGATAAAGGACATACAAGGTATGGTAACCAAGAGAAATGAAAATAATCCATGCCAGAAACAATGCAGCAGATCTGTACAATGTCAAAGACATCAAAGATAAAAATAAGATCTAAAAAGAAAAATGAGGGAAAAGACAGATCATCTCTAAGGGATTGACAATTAGGCTGAAAAGAGATTTCTTGACAGCAAAAAGAAAACCAGAAAAATAGTTAAATAATATCTCCACAGTGCTAAGAGAGAAAAAAAACAAAACAAAACAAAAACCTATCAACCCAGAATTGTAGATCTATCTTTGAATAGTTTTGAAGAGATAAAATAAAAACAAAAACTTAAGAATTTACCCCTAACAGACTTTCACTAAAGGAACTTAAAGCTTTTTTCAGGAAGAAAAAAAGAAATGGGGGGCACCTGGGTGGCTCAGTTGGTAAAGCGACTGCCTTCGGCTCAGGTCATGATCCTGGAGTCCTGGGATCGAGTCCCCCATCAGGCTCTCTGCTCAGCAGGGAGTCTGCTTCTCCCTCTGACCCTCTCCATCCCATGCTCATTCTCCCTTTCTCAAATAATAAAATCTTTAAGAAAAAAAGAAATGGAGAAGAAATCCCCCCAAATACTATCTATGTTAAAATATCGACTAATCTGTGGTGTTTCAAAAAAAAAAAAAATAATGGATGACTATAACCTATGAAGAGCAGGATGATCAGAGTTAAAGTGTTCTAAGGTTCTTTACTGTTAGCAGTGAATATTAAAATATTAACTTTAGAAGCAGAGAAAAGATCAATGCCAACTATTTTAAAAACCCAAAACGGAAAATTACAACAACAAAAACAGGTTAGTATATTCATAAACCAGTAGGGAATAAAAATTTAAAAAGAAAGAGTTCAAGCAAACCAAAAACCTCAATCAATCAAAAATAAGACATGGGAGCAGGGGAAAAAATGTATACACTTCTTCAGTGTATATATAGCATATATTCAGGCAGCTTATTTCAGAATTTAAGACCAATGAAAATAAGTGAAAACAAAAAACTCTTTGTGAATTTTGAAATGTACACAAATGAACAGTTTAGAAACACTAAGAACACACAAGCTTTATAAAAAAGTTACCTTCCATATCTTCATACTCCTGATCTCCCACATTTAGGGTATATATAGTTTTCTTCTTCATTTCTCCTTGAAAAAGGGTTTCCTATAGGATGAATTACAATAGAGAAATTTTATGTTTGCGTTCTCCCAGTATCAATGAAAAACAAAAACCCAGAACTGTAAGAAATTATTTTACACATAAAAGAACATAGTACAAGCCAAGCCAGTAAATTTTATGGATAATCCAGTACTCTTTTATACTCCTTGTCATCAAGCAGTCTTACTGAAAGGAAAAACCTTGTGTAAGTATTAAGCAACAAAGACTAAATGATAGCTTTTGTGGTACAGGCATAAATATAATTGGAGCTTAGGGAAAAGAGATCAATTTGAACTGGAGTTTTCATTGAAGGTGATAGGTTATGTGTGTTGAGCTTAAGGCATTTAAGGGGCAACATAGTCTAAAGTAATAAAATAGCATTTAACTAGGCCAATCTGACAACAACAAGAAGAGTAAAAGTATGAGAGAGAGAGAGAGAGAGAGAGAATGTGTACTGAGGAGGGATATATGCTAAGAAGTTCATCTGGAAGACTATAGTAATGGGTAAGGAAAGCAATACGCAAAACAATGTAAATCAAGTAGGGAAAGATTACAAATGGATCTCCAATGATTGAGAAGTTTAGACCCAATCTTAGAGATTCCTCTGAAGAAGACTGAAATGATAAAAGTAATATAAATGAATCTTTTAAAAGAATGATCTGTCAGCAAAGCACAGAAATGGATTATAGCAGGGAGAGATTAGAAGCAGAGAGATTTCCATAGCTAGAGTAATTGGCTATGAAGTGAATAAAAAAGCAAGAAATTAAGAATTTCTGAGATATGATGACTAAATACAGGGAAGGAGTCAAAGATTACTCTGGCCTTGAGGACTAAGAAAATGATTACAAGAGGCAAAACAATAATTTAATAATAATTAATAATTTAAACATACTAGTTTCTACATTAAAGGTATGTATTGCCCAGGAAAATTCTTTTAGGCTAAACAAGGAGAAATGCAAAGACTCACACTTTAGTTCAAAAACCAACTGTAAAGCAGAAGAAACTTAGTAGCACATAGACTTAAAGGTTTTAGTAGTTTAAAAAGTCAAAATCGGTAAGGATTAGAGTTACTTTAAAAAGTTAATTTAGGGGCGTCTGGGTGGCCAGGTGTTAAGCATCTGCCTTCGGCTCAGGTCATGATCCCAGGGTTCTGGGACTGAGCCCCACATCGGGCTCCCTGCTCAGCGGATAGCCTGCTTCTCCCTCTCCCCTCCCCCTGCTTGTGTTCCCTCTCTCGCTGTGTCTCTGTCAAATAAATAAATAAAATTTAAAAAAAAAAAAAATTAAAAAGTTAATTTAATCACAGTGTGCCTTAATAAAAGCAGACTGTCAAAAACAAAGGGAAACTTCCCCTTCAGCCTACATTTGCAACATTTGTTTTAGTTCTGGTGCTATTTTATTTAGGGACAAACAACAAAATGATGACTGTCCAGGGAAGATGACTAAACTGGTGACAGCCTTGGAAACCATCTCATATGCAAAAAGGTAAAGTAGTAAGAATGTTTAGCCTGGAAGAACAGAAAGCTTAAGGAGAAGGTTAGCAGTTACCTTCAAATGGAATGGGCTGTTCTGAAGGGGAGGTGTAGAAAAACCTATCGATGAAGATATTCAAGCAGAGGCCCAATGACTTCCTCCTGGGCTTGCTTTTTTTTTTTAATTCAAAGATTCACTGAGTGCCATAGGTATACTATTAGGCAATGCTTTAAGTATAGCATTGAACAAGACAGAAATTCCTGACTACATTCTAGCAGGGGAGATACAATAAACACACTAAAACATCTAGTATGTTGAGAAGTTGAGAAAAATAAAACAATGCAATTATAAAATAAACATACAATTATGGAGAAGGTGTTATTTCACACAGAATATTTAGGGAAAGCCTTTCTGATAAAGTGAAATTTGAAATGGCAATCAGAAACAATCAAGGGAGAGAATTATGTGAATACCTAGAGGACCTGCATTTGAGGCAGAAAAGAACAGCAAATATAAAGTCCAAAGGCAGAAAAGAGAGTGTGTCTGATATGTGCAAGGAAAAACAAGGAGACAAGTGTGGTTAGAATAGAATGAAAGAGATGAAAAGTAGTAAATGAGGACAGAGAGGTAATAAGATCCTGCAATACCTTAAGGGCTAAGGTAAACAGACACACTGGCTGCTTCTCTGAGTGACATGGGTCAGTAGCAGATTTTAAGCAGAGGAGGAGGCAAAGGAAAAAGAAAGTTGACTGATCATCTAGGGAAGGAGATGACAGCGGCTTGTACCTGAGTAGTAGCAATGGTGATGAAAAGGAATCAAATTCCAGCTATTTTCAAAATACAGCCATCAGGATTTGCAGAAAGACTGAATCTGAGGTATGTGTTAGAGAGCAAGACTCCAGAATAATTCCAAAGTATTCTGATCTGAGCAACTACAATAATGGAATTACTGATACAGAAGATTACTTTAAAAATATTCAGACAATCACAGATTACTTGATATTCACTCAGAAGGACAGTATCAGTATCACTTGGGAACTTGTTACAAATGCAGGATACCTCAGCCACCACTCCAGACCTAGTGAATAATCTGCATTTTATCAAGATCTGGACATGATTAATACCTATGTTAAAGCCTGAGAAACACTGCTCTAGGCAACTTCCCAAGTTGATTTTGAAGGCATACTGTGCTCCTGGTATGATCTATAATTGAGTGTAATCTTTATGTGGTGAAATTCATACCATACCAACTCCCCCAGTATCCTAAGTATCTAAGAGTAAAAAATATTTGAGTTAATTAAATGTGATAAAATGTCAATTTGAAAATACAATATTTTAAAAATCTAGGAAGTTCTCAAAACATGCAATATCCTATTCCTTTATGTAGCTAAATAACTTATGTCCTATTGGATATTCTAGGCTGTTTTCATATTTTATATTAACATATAAACTATAATCTATAATTAACATTTACAGTAAATACTGCCCTATTTTAACTCATGCAATGAAGTACATAAGCAATAGTTTATCACTGAGAAACTAAGAAACCTCAATCAATTTACAGACTCCCTTCCCTGTGAGAAATCTGCTTAAAAAACTAAGTGCTCCAAATCCTTAGAAGTTGTATGCTTCTTCTTGAATGCATCATGTATTAACTGCGGCCATCTAATTAAACCAATTATGCTACATTACCAGTTTATTCATTCAAAATGATAGGGTTTTAGCATTTCACTAGATAAAAGTCACAACTTTCAGTTCAACAACTTATAGTCAGAACTTGCTCATATTTATTTGTTGTATCTGCCTAGATGCCAATTTTTAACCTAAGGACTCATGGTTTTTAATACCAGTTTTGCTTTAAATTTCCAGTAACAGAAGCACAGGAATACAATACAGATGCATGGTCCTAAGCCAATAACTTGTGGTCAGTAAAAAAACTTAAGAGATAAGCTGTGGGTGGGCAGGACTATCCCTCCTTGTGGTTACCCAAGAAGTTAGATATAACTTGATTTCATGATATTAACTATTAATGACTCTTAATCATATCATATTCTACCTAGACTCCTTAATAGTTTGACCAAGTTCTATATATTAATTATCTATAAATCAAACAGAATTTTCTTTTAATTTTGGTTTACCTCAAATCAATCTCAAAGAATGGTTGTTCACTCTTGATTTTAAGTTAATTCTGTTTACTTTTCAAAGGACTTTAATTTCCCAATTTCAGTCTTTAATATCTCTTCCCAGGCTCCACCTTTCCAAGCTAAAGCATCTTTTAAGTCTTTTATCCCTAACATAATGATCTTAAAACACTTATATCTTCCAAGCTGCCCTTTTTATTTCATTATATATTGCTTCTGTTATATATTAGAAATACTATTCCAAATATGTCCATAAAAAGTTTCAGGGGCACCTGGGTAGCTCAGATGGTTAAGCGTCTGCTTTCAGCTCAGGTCATGATCCCAGGGTCCTGGGATCTGTCTGTCTGTCTCCTCTCTCTGTCAAAAATAAAATCTTAAAAAAAAAAAAAAAAAAGTTTGGGAAGAATGACCTAATTTAAAAATTTTATTTATCATAAAAGCATCAACTTTTAGATGTGGAATAAAAAAAAAAAAGAGCACTAGTATCAATCAGTTTTCAGAATTCAGAACTCATTCTCCCACACAAACCCTGGAATACATGGAATTGAGAATTCCAGGCCAGCCATTATAGTGCATTCAAGTAACAATAGTGTAGAAAATAGTTCAGTTCTCTAAATCAGGACTGCCCGACAGGGAACTGTTCTATCAAGCACCTGAAATGTGGCTAGTACAACTGAGGAACAAAATTTTTCGATTTAGGTTTTAATTAATTTAAATTTAAGTAATCCAATGTGGTTACTGGTTACTATGCTGGACAGCACAGTTCCAGGATATAAAGAAAATTGTTTCAAGTTACACCTAAGACACTAGCAATGTATTTCCTATTGTAGTAGTTGCTGAAGCACCTCAAGCTTCAAGGAATCAGAGAAGGGACCAGAGGTTCCCACTAACAGAAACTAAACATTTTAGCCTTGGCCAGCTCCATTTAAAATTCCTATCCTTCCCTTCTCTCCATCCTTTTCTCTTCCAAAGCCTGTTTCCTTCCATCTACATCCAGTTCACTTCAAACCTCGCTCTCCTTGCTTCCTCCTACTGTCCTTCAAGCAAGTCCACGGTATCTAAAGATACAAACATCCTAGTTAAGACTTAGACCTACAGTCAAATCGCAGCTGCACTGCCATGCAGTAAGTAGCTGTTATTATCATTATTATTTTTTCCTAAAGATTTATTTTTAGAGAGAGCTAGTGCCCAAGCACGCACAGGAGGGGGGTAGGGGGGGTGTGCAGCTGGAGAGGGAGAGAGAATCCTCAAGCAGACTCTGCTGAGCACAGAACCTGACATGGGGCTTGGTCCCGGGATCCTGAGATCATGACCTGAGCCGAAATTAAGAGCCGATAGCTCAAGCAACTGAGCCATCCAGGTGCCCCTATTATTATTACTCGTGCTAGTAAGAACAGAAAAATAGGGAAGGGTAATAAAAGTGTTGACTGCCCAATTTCTTTGTTTTCCCTAGACAGAAGTGAGACAAAGGCAAACATAGGACTGAAAAAACACAAATCAACACTTCTGAATAACAAGTAAATTGATCAAGTCTACTAATATTCTGTCAAAAGAGTAGTTAGATCCTTTGGGTACAAAAATAGAAGACATACGAAACGCCATGAGGAAGTTTAGCTCTATTTCCCACCCCACTCTCAAACCCAATCCTGCCATTATAGAATCTATCATAGGAGGGCACAGATATGATAAATGGGAGCCAAGGCTGAATAAAAGGGATACTGGGAAAAAGTAAGAGCTGTCCCTATGTTGGGCATACTTATGCCAGGACAAAGCATATTTCTTGAAGATGCTAAATACTATTTTGATTCACATGGCTAAGGTCTTCAGAGAAGCCAGTGACTCCCAGAACCACTCTCAAATAATCTATTCTTCTTTCTCCTTTATTTCCAAACCTCTATCCAAGATAAACAGGTCCCCAAATTCAATCCCCTGTCCAAAAAATTCAATTAAAAAAAAGGGGGCATTCAGTAAGGTACTCTGAGTGGTATAGTTCAGTGATTAATGACTTGGGCACTGGTTTCAGGCAAACCTGTGCTTATGACATTGTCTTGCAGTAATAAACACTCAAATGTTAATAACCATTACTATTTTTTTTTAAAAGATTTTATTTATTTATTTGAGAGAGAGAGAATGAGAGACAGAGAGCATGAGAGGGAGGAGGGTCAGAGGGA